GATCTCGCACAAGGCCGCGGCCCACCCAGGGCCGTCAGCTACAATATGGGCAGATGCTGCTCGTCAGTATCGCGGACACCCAGGCCGTTTTTACATGGGGAGATTTGCATCGGTACCTGGTCTTGCGGACCGCTACCTGCCTCTGGCCATGCATCTCGCTGCCTCACCCGTTGGCAGTCGCCCGCCCGTTGGGCCATAGGGGAATGGGGAGACTTTTGTCGCGACCTTACCCAGGGTCGTTAAGCAGCTTGTTGGAGCTGGGGAGGCACTATTCTCAGTGCCGCTTATTGGGGCTTGAGACGTGCTCTTCTGAGCATGATTTCTCCCCCACGGCCGCCAGGTGCCCCCTTACGCCTCAGTGACTCCTTGAGTTTGCTCGCATTTGGGAGCCTGGCGGTAACGTGCTCTGCTGAACTAGCAACCCAGTAGGGCCCTGCATGTTTTTGCTCATGTAGGTCGAGGACTGGATGCGTTGTGTACAGATCCTACCTCGACTACGTCATGCTCTTTCGAGGGCGACGACGTCTACCTGCTGCTGCAGGTTTAGGGATGTAGGTTGAGGGTTCAGGGTTTAGGGATGTAGGGTTTAGGGTATAGGGTTTAGGGTAGTACTGCCCCCATGATGGAGAATCAAACGGCAAAGAAACTGGAGAATGAAATGCAAGCAGGGTTTCGGCAGATGCTTATAGAGGATTTAGTAACCCCAGCCCTCAAATTGGAAACTTGAATTGAAAGTGCAAAAATATATAATAAAAAAAAACTGGGGCTTGTAGGGGTGTACGATAGGTAATAAGAAGATTTTGGGTATGCCAAGCCCCAGTAATAAGGACTCTACTAGAAGCAGATGGTAGACATGATTTGGGCCCCAAAGTCAGGAGATTCTCCAAGGATGCTTTCCGAAACAGCAGTCCTTCCGAGCCAGGGGCATGACGGATGCGGGGACACTCCTTAAGGCGGGGGTTGCTATCTCAAGTCTTCCATGTTCTTTCAGGAACGCCTTGCTTGTCGTGAAACATGTCCACTCTGAATTCTGACCTTTACAAATACTCTGTGCAGCACTTATCGTGGTGGATCCTTCCGAGCGTTTCATACTCCGCCCAAACAACGCTTCCTTTTGAGGTATCCTGTCGACGCTAATAGTTGTGGGCTTAATAGTTGTGGGCTTACGTTTCAGCGAGTTCTGTAAGAAACAGAACTAACACGATCCTCACCGGTACTGTGCAGCAACCAAAGAATCGGGGTCCAGCCATCGTGGCCAGTAACTGATTCTTGAAGACCAGACTGAAAGAAGTTTTATTAACATTATGACTACTTACTGTTACTATTGCTACTCTTATTACTATTATGACGATTATTCCGATTGTTACTATTTTTACTACTATTACTAGTATTACAAGTCGCGCTACTATTTTAAAGCCTCAGAATTGGGAACGTAGAGCAGATCTAAGGTCAGAGCTTGTCGCAGCCCGCTAGGGTGATGATGGCATCTGCATGGTATCCTTCGTGCATGAGCTCGATGCAGTCTGTGATGACCTGACACCAGGCTTACGGCTGAGGGCTGAGGGCTGAGGGTTTAGTGCTGATGGCTTAGGGTTGAGGGCTTGGGGTTCAGGCCTTAGGGTTTAAGGTTAAGGGCTTAGGGTTTAGGATGTAGGGTTTAGGCTTAGGGGATTCCTGAAAATCATCCCTATCTCACCCAACGCTTATAGTACGCTTATATTCATATGCCCATGTAATTCTAGGGATGCCTGGGAATCAATTCGAGCCATAGTCTAAACTCCTAGCATCCCCCTTAATAACCCCTATAATACTCTCCATCCCCTATATAACCCCGCTGTGTCAAGCTTAGGCTATAGTACACATCGTTAGCCAACCGGATCCAGGCCTCTCTGCTGATGAGGGAATATCTCATCGCCTTGCAACCCTGGCTCTGACCATCACTGATCACGGGCCTAAGTTGCCGGCGAGTGAGGTTTCAGGTTCCGGGTTTGGTAAAAGTTGGAGTTTTGGGTTTTGGTATTAAGGTTTAGGGTTTAGGGTTTAGGGCTTAGGCTTGAGGGCCACAACAGGCTCTGGATCACAACCACAACCTCAGATCTCCTCCGTAAACAGCGTCGACCATGATAGCGGAAGTCATCCTACTGGAAATGTTGGTTACCATCGTAGTCAAGATAAGTCGGTACACCTCAACAACTAGGGTTTAGGGTTGAGGGTTTGGGGTTTCGGGGCAGACCGGAATGGTAACTGCACCGGATCGGGTCCTAAGTTATAACAAACGGTTATGACGTGACTGCTTCCCTGAAGCCGAATGCCATGGATAAGCCTATTTTCTCCTATACTTAGAGAAGCATGTGTATACGTATAATGAAACTCCACAAGGACAATCATCAGGCAGTGCTTTCAAAGCATTGAGGTTGCCAAACTGCTGATATCATCTTGAAAACACCCATATACTCAATTTACCTTTCCAGCTTCTCTTAAGCCCTAGACCTTGAATAGTCTAGTGATTTTAAGTTCATCCTCCATGCTCTCTCACATGTGACTCTACCTTCCTTAGGGTACATTCCTGGCGAAACCCAAACAGGACTGGCCCGCTGCGAAGGCACGAATAACGGAACCGAAGAGTTTCTTGGATGGTGTGTCGTATCTGAGGGCCTTTGAGGATCTACTGTAGGGGCCCAGATAAATACCAATGTCATCTTGAGGTCTGCTTGAGGTCCTCTACACCATAATGACCCAAGGGATTTGCAACCGTAATGCTGGTAAGTATTTAGGCCCCTATAGTGCCTGACTCCCAAGCGACCAGCGTGAAGCAAAAGTGGGCTTTGCCTCCCAGCTTCTCTACCTGCACCAATACCGCAGCGCAACGCAAGTCTTCGGGTTTGTGAGGGTTACTAGGGAATGGGGACATGGATCACTAGAAATACATAGGTTTTTGGAGGTCTAGGATTCCAGGGCTCTTTGCTTTAGGTTCAGAACTTTAAGGCCTTAGGGCAAAAGATGCAGCTACCAAGCATAAGCCGGGACTTTCGTTTTGAGGACCACTCCTTAGATAGCATGCCGCCGAACAATCACCTTGTGCAAGCAAGCCCTTTTTCAACTCGCTGACGCTGATCTCACAGCCTACAGATGTCTGTTGGGGCAAGGGCTGTCGGCGTTCGTCGACTTTTCCCCTGCAACTTCTGTGAGGGATGTCTCAGCTTTCCAGACGCCACCAAGAGTTGTCCAACTGCGCGGTCCTACTACCAACTCTCACAAACACGTGCCGTACACTAGCTGGTTCCCAAAAAGAAGCCAGAACTCTGAGAACTACCCGCGAGCATGCAAAAGTGAAGGCCCTACGGTCACCGCGTCCGCGTGCGCAGTACCTGCAGGGGCAAAGGAGCCACTACTTGGGCATTGTGATATACTATATGAACCCCTGATAACCAGCCCTAACCAGGAGGTCCTTCAAACGTACGTACGCTCAGGAGCTAAACCCTCATCCCCGAACGCAGATCCACAAGGCCTGGCTGCCGCATATTTGACCGGACTAGACAATCCCCAAAACCCCAACCATGAACCTTATGAAGCCTTTTAAAACCTCTTACAACCCTGCCTAACCCCTTGATTGAACAGCCTGGCGGTCTCTTTACCTTGTCTCTACCAGGCCCAGCATCCTATAGCAAGGATCGTATCCCCCTATGCCTCATGTAGAATAGCTATAGTAGTGTCATAATAGTAATAGTAGCAATAATAGTAATATAACAAAGTAAGAATACGTGGCCACTCCTAGACCCTAAACCCTAAACCCTAAACCCATGAAACTGGAGCCTGCAAGGATGAAGGCCCATGCGGTGGTATCAGGAACCCAGCAGGCTGCGTGAGGTGGTGGAAGACGGGGGTCCTGCACACAGTTCAGGTGAGGGGGGGTTAGAGTTTAGGGTTGAGGATTTAGGGTTTAGAATCTAAGGATTGAAGGTTTAGAATTTAAGGATTGAAGGTTTAGGAAGGATTTAGGGTTTAGGGTTTAAGGATTTGGGGTTTAGGGTTTGGGGGTACGAGGTTCAGGATGATAATGCTGGATTCCTCGTTAGGGCCCATGTTTTTTAATTGAAAGATTCCGAAGAACACTGTGGGGTTGGAAGCTTATCAGAAAAAGTACCCAACGCCTGCTATCTTCGGAGCCGAACTATTACGGAAATTTCTGCAAACGGCACACAACTCTGGAGACTGAGCCTAAACCCTAAACCTTGGATACTGCCCCCACTCAGTAGCAGTTGGATAGTATTTATAATATGGTTATATATAACCCTTAATAGGACCCCTAATATAGACTGTTACGGGGGGGGTGGGGGTGGGCAGTACCCAAACCCTAAACCCTAAACCAAGGGCCCCTCTACAGGTTGAAGCTGCCACGTGAAGATGAGGTGAAGATGAGGTGCCTGGAGCTCGACGGAGACACTGGCACTGGAAAGCCCATCGTCAATGGGCCCGAATGACCTCGGGAAGGGGCAAGCACTGTATTCTATATCGAAAGGTCATAGCCCATGCCCCCAAAACATCCTAAAACCCCCAAATCTGAACCTCAACCCTAAACAGGGCTCTAACTTTAGGGATCTAGGCGGCCGCGTGCACATCTTGTCTTGGCTGCACATGCCTTCCATCTTGTCTAGATTACGTCTTCCTCCTTATAGCATGTAGGAGGCTTTGTTGTGGAGCCCCACGAAACCAATTGCTTACATGGGCATTTCGAAAAGTGAATGTCCCACGAAAAGCCTTCAAAACACAAGGAACCTGATTATGACATGCCCAGGATTTTGGCGAAATCTACCCCAGATGATTTCTGCATGTGCCACACAAATGTGTTTCAATGTTGGTGTCCCTGTAGAAGCACACCCCTGAAAGTCGATCCCCCTTCACGGTTCCTAGAAATTGCCCAATAGTAATATGAGGTGCCAAAATGGGGGCTCTTGTTTCTAGATCCTCCCAGAATTCTGGGTACCTTTCGTAGCCCTATTTAATTAGGGTTTAGGGAGGACGCAATACTCCCCAGTACAGGGGTACAGGGCCAGCTGACTGTGGCCTGAAGAGCATGCGACGACCCGTGCCACAGGCAGATGACGCACAACCACCGGCCGAGGACTCGAAACCTGTAATCCTGGGTGGGGTGGAACGCTGTTACAATTTGAGGGTGTGTGGAGTTTCGAATTTAGGGTTTCTTGGGGCTTCGAGATTTGTAGGGCTTGGGGTGTAGAAACCAAAGTCTGACCATGGCTCTAGGAACTCGAATACAAAATCCCCTGTATCACCATATAGCCCGTTTAAGGAGTTTAGACTATAGCTCATGTGACCATGGCATCTGCGCGGTAGTCGCACTATGAAGCACTTAGAAATCAGATTCGGACGACTGCCCAAGAGGCTGCCATCCCTGTTAGGGTTTAGGGTTTGGGGCTACATGCTCCTGTTTGGGGACCCTTGTAATCCCTAGACTTATCTCCGAAAAACCCTGCGGTGCTCTCTTTTGAGACAACCTACACCCTGAAATCCTAACCCTCCTAACCCCCCCCCCAATTTGAGTCTGGTCCTGGGGCGCTGATGCGGACTGACTTCACACCGCTGTTTGTTTGCGATACGTTGGCGAAAAGCACCCTCGCCTGAGCTGCAAGCTATGACAGGGGTAAGAAGAAGGCCTAAAGCAATGGAAGAGGACTGCATCCTGCTGTACATATCCAGGTGTTTTAGCGCAGTGTTGCGGGCTAGGGGTCCAGGGGACATGGTAGGGGGGTAAGAGGTTTAGGGTCGAGGGACGGCAGGGCTTGGATGATTTGTTGCTGGGGCAGCTCTAGTAGATGTTCGATGCTTTATTAACATTAGCCGGAGTGCGCGATTTGGCCGTCATGGTCGCCAGCGCATCTACAAGATGAATTGGGCCAAACCAGGGGTCCCAAACGGATCCCTATATTCGTTTCTTGCTGAACAGCGTGAGGAATCAGGACCCTCGTGTCCTTCCTATAACTTCATGTACCCAGTGGTTTATCCGGTCTTGACCTTTAAGAGCCTATGCAGGGTCTGGAAAAGGGGCCAAGTTGCCGGTCCATGGCTTGCGGGGCTGGGATAGATCACCTTCTGCGGCAAGTGGTTGACCACAACCTGTGGAGTAGAACAACCCTGGACCCTAAACAACAACCTGTGATCTATACCAAGGAATCCCATCCTAGTGAGAATTTTCCCGCCAGAATGAAATGGAAGCATCTTGAGAGTATTCATGAGAGGAGGTTGGGAAGGTTCATTGACACAGAACCTGTGGATAAAACAACCGATGGAGAATCCAATGGAAAGGGAACCTGGGCCTGTATGAGGGTTGTACGGGGAGTTAAGGAACTTTAGTTACGTTACCAGAATGAAGAATTAGAACATGAAATGGCAACTGGGATCTTAAAGGGGGCTTGGGGATTACCAGTACCTTCCAAGTGGCCTTAAATTGCGTCTTTAGATTGGGTCTTTTTGTGTGTCCTATTCGTGGGTACTTGGGTTCTATCGATTTCGCGGGGCGTAGGCATGGTCTAGGGTTTAGGGCCTAGGAGTTATGGGGCTTAGGGTCTAAGACTTTGAGAACTTCAGGCTTAGGGCCTGGTGCTTTGCTGACTAAACTATGGCCTTGGAGTAAGTTGCAAGCGGCGGCAATAAAGATTCTGCTGGTGAGTCTTCTGCATCCATCATCCTCTTTGCCACCCACACCAAGAATGCATGTTGCCCCCTCAACCTTAGGCAAAAATCCTTTGGGAGCAGCGTGTGTCACTTATGACAAGAATATATAGGGAGGAAGACTCTAATTTGCAATGCCCTGCCCATGAAGATTGACTTCCCCAAGCCTGGCGCCGAACAGATGCAGGCGCCACGACAGCTGCCGCCACGGGCGTAGCAACAGGTGTTATCACTGGAGGTGCCTTTGCCGTTCTCTGCTGGCAAGGTTGGGTAGGACATGGGGTGTTGTCCAAATCATGGTCCGTTCATCGGCACTCTACCCATCAAGGTAAGTCACAACCTTTTGAATACGCAGGCTCTTCTTGGCAGTGACGTTTTGTGGCTGCTGCATTCCAGGCAGACGGTCACTGTTTCACGGCATGTGGTACTTCATGATGTTTCCTCGTTGTTGCCTAGTGACTTTCACAGGCACGTTTAGCATTTCGTCGAGTTGTCGGATGAAGAGGACCAGACTTCGTTCGTCTTATGCTCACTTGGTCAACAAACTTCTCAGGATGCGAGGATCTTCTTGACAGACAATCACAATGTCCCAAGATCTTGGCAGATCTGGAGTACTACTTGGGGGTTATGGGGACTTAGCAAGAAGGTTGAGAACCCCTATAAGGCATAGAATAACCCCATTTATCCCTACAGGGAATTTCTCGAAGCTGCGACCTTCGGAATCCCGAGTTTCAAGGTCGCGGGCCCTCAGACCCCAAAGCCTCAACGCTCCTCAACCCTAACACTGTAAACCACAAGCCCATAAACCCTCATGCCCAATATACCCTTCCCTACACTACACAGTCCCTACAGTAGCTTCCATTTTTCCATTATCCCTATATACCCCCTATATAATACAATCCCCATATTACTCTCCAAAACCATCAAAACCCTGGGACTGCGCCTGGGGAGCGGCAGTAACAGCCTTGCGCATTGGGCTGCCCGCTGAGCTGTTGGCCTCCTGGGTTCGGGTTCCAAGTCCGGCTTGGTTTGCGGTCGAGGGATGAGTACCTGGAGGATCATGGGGATGTAGTAAGTAGGTTAATTACCCCTATAAGCCATAGAATAACCCCAGTGAACCCCATTATTAACCCACTAACTAAGTTCCCATGACCCTCCAAGTAGGCTTTAGGAATGATTGCGGTGTAGGGCTTAGAGAGTATTGGGGCCTTGGGGTTTAGGATTTAAGGAGTGCTTAGGATTAGGGGAGAGGCAAGATTGGTTGGGTTTACGACTGGAGGCTCCCAACATAAGATTGTAGACTTCAGAATTTAATACGAATTTAACGGGAATATTGGAGAGGATTAAAGGCCAGGGGTTAGTTACCAAGACTGGAGAATTGAGGAGTTAGGGTTGAGGCTTTAGAGTTTAGGAGTTAGTGTCAGCGAAGGGTTTGCCCATGGCAAAAAGAAGTCAATAAATCCTGGGGCTCCCCCCAAAGTTTGAATGCTTTGGATACAAGCGGGGCCCTAACCCTAAATTCTAAACGCGAGACCCTAAACTCTGAACCCCGAACTATACATTCCAAGCCGGTGCAACCTACCCCAGACCTACGACTTGGAAATGTGGAAGATGGGGCTCTATACTCACTGGTAGCTTGTAGGGAAGAGGGAATGGAATCCCTACATAACATATTCCCTTATTCTCTACTAAACCTAAACCCATATATATATAGTCCTTATTCGCTACTAACTAACCCAGTAAGTATACCAGACATCTCCAGCTTGAATGCTTGATATTCCTCTACAGGCTTGAAGGTTCAGGGTTTACCGGCCTTTATTGGGGGGTTTCTGTCTGTAAGAACTTTCGACCTAGGCAACCCGTGCCCACTTTGAGGGAAAGAGCTTTGATCGACCCGAAACCTCAAGACCGTTGCACCCAAAAGCCTAAGCCTCAGACGTATAGCCTTACCCTCAAACCCTAACAAGGAGTGTGAACTTTAGGGTTGAAGGTGTAGGATTCGGGTTTCGGCCCACCAAATTTGAGATATAGTGCTGAGGATGATAATGCTGATGATGATGATGAGTATGTTGATGGTGATGGTGATAATGATGATGAGGATGATGTAGATGGTGACGACGATGTCGCGCCTAAGGTTAAATGGGTAGCTGTTGCTGCCTGGAAATCAAGAATGAAAACGGGTCGTGTAGGATAGGGCTTACGTTATCCGTTCAGGGTTGCGTGTGTTGGGCTTCTGGTCTACTTGGGGGTCAGGGGACGTAGTAAGTCTCCTTATAGCCCCCCCCAACCCTTCCAATGTATTGCCTTGATTCTGTATACTCCACATCTAACAATCTAAAAAACTCTATACAATTTCTACGAAGGCTCTGATAAGGTAGTATATTGGGATCTCTAATCGGGTCGATGTTGATGATGGAAACTAGGACAATCTCCGCATGATTCACAGACCATGGGGGTTTGTGCACCCCTGCCTCCAGGGTGTCCATGGACATCTCTGGGGCACTTCCCGTTCGCACGAAAGAGAGCCAAGACTGCACCTGCATGGACTTGAGTCGTACTAGTACTAGTATTAGACTGTCATCGTCGGAGGAGGAGGATTAAGGCTCAGGGTTTAGCTTTATCGGTTTTGTGGATCACGGTTTTGGGGGTCAAGGCTTTAGTGACTCAGCTGCCGGGTGCATGGTTTAGGGCCATTGGCTTTCAACACCGAAGTTGAATCTTTTCCAGAGTGACTTGAAGATACGGGCTTAGAGGCCTTAAGCCCCAACCCCTATGAGGGATTGGGTAATGAAGGGTCCACTACTGCATCTTGGGAATCATTCATGCGAGGGGAAAGGAGCGAAGACACTTGATTACCACTACTCCTCTACACTCGCGTTGCAACAACGCTCGTGGCTCCGAAACGTATCTCCATAAGGTTGTAGCATCACGTTTTGGCTGCAATGACTGCTGTGACTGCAATACCCTATACAAAACTTGCATGGTGCACCTAAGGCTGAACAAACTATCAAGCTCTACAGGAAAGACCTTGCGAATTCCAGACGTGAACCCTGCAACCCCAAATGCTGCACCCCGGATCCTCAAGCCTCAAACCTCAACTCCTACTTTTACGGGTTTCCCCACCACGCCGTGTACTACCCCGCCTAAGTTCCCCCTGAATTAAAGGATATCGAAGCACAATTAGGCTTGATTAAAGCAAATTACTTAAGGGGTAGTAGACTTGGGTACTGCCCCACCTAGTAACAGTCCATATTAGGGGTCCTATTGGGGGCTATATGTAACCATATTATAACTATTATCCAACTGTTACTGCGGGGGGGCAGAACCCAATAATCCCTAAACCCTAAACCCTAAACCCCCCTCCGGGTTCAGTTCCGGGGGTGGTTTTATATGGTAATTTACAGGGTTTCATGTTTTTGAGTGTCGAAAAAAATTATTGGGAGTAGTTTCTGCAAGGGACCCTGGAACTCCTAACCATCAGATACAAACATCTTCAGAAATGAAGTG